CCAATAATCAAATCAATCTCGAGGGAAAAAAACGTTTTTTAAAAAAAGAAGGAGCTAGAAACATGAAAGTCTGTCAAAAAAAATCGCACAGATACAGGTTTGAAGCCCAAAGAAAAAACCCCGATACGAGTAAACAACTAACAAAAGAGCTCAATACAACCGTAGAGCACTAGGTTTATCTAGGTCTGCTCTACGGTTGTATTGAGCGCTTTTGTTAGTTAGTTGTTTACTCGTGTCGGGGTTATGTTTCTCAAGTCCACTAACAGTTATTGCCCGTTCCACTATTCATGGGTCTCCCTTTCTACTAAACACCACAATCCAACTTAATTTTAATAATTATTTGGATATTTCGACTCTCGTTTTTGAAACATGAGAACTCTTATGTAGCGAAGGAATCATATTTTTAAGCAAAAAATATTATTATAATTATTATATATATATAATGACCCACACACACATACATACATGCACACACACACACACACTTCTTGGGGTGAGATGATTAAAAAAAAACAGATCAGCAAAAAGAATATAGTATGAAATTTGACAATAATTTCACACAACAGTGAAAGTTTTAACAAGAAAACTTTCCATTTTCTGGATTACTTTAAATGTTATTTGAACATTAGAGCCATTCTTTGCTCAGGATCATAAAAAAAAATTCTGGGAGAATGGAATTATGAAGATAGCAGAAGATAGTGGAACAAGAAGGCAAATATTCAATAAATTTTTAATATATAAAAAATATTTTTTATTTTAACTTATTGATGTGCAGATGTTATAATGATTAGTGGCTCAGAACAAAAAAATGGCCAACTAAGTTTGAATTCTACTTGAGTTCATTTCATTACATTTACTTTTGTGTAAATACACCTGGGAAAAGTATATATATATATAATGCACCACACATACACACATATCATTTATGATAGCAATTAAAAGCTTATGCAATTGCATAATTATATAGTTTTAATGAAGTTTTTATGTTACGATTCGAAGTATATCTTGTGGAATTTGATAATACCTTGAGAAAAAATAAATTAAAACATATCTGATGACACGTTGCTCTTAGTAGGACGAGAAATAAGCAGACTCTGAAATTACAGATTGAATCTATGGACTGTTAATGATTACTCAGAATTTCAAGAGTTTACACAAAAATTGTGCTTTGGAAACTTTTGCAGTAAACAATTTTGGTTGTAAATATGTAACATTTATGAAAATAAGGTACAGATATCTTTTCTAAGGAGTTTATAAATTGTATGCTGTCCAAATATTAACGTTAACAACAAACTATTTTAAATTACAAAATTGTACTTCAATTAAATGAAAATTACAATATAATACACATTACTTATAATACATGACTGCTTGCTATGAATTTTTACGGTAAGGTTACAGTAGTTATATTAGAAAAAGATTATAAGATTATAAAGATAATAAACCTAATAATATTTATAATCTTATAAGATTATAAAGATAACCAACTTTATAATCTTCATAATCTTCTAAGATTATTAAGATTATAAGGTTTATTCCAAAATCTGACCCGTCCTGGGTAAGACGATGAAATACACCCGTGTCCTGGGTAAGACGATAAACTACGTCCAACAGCAAAACCTCTGATCAGGGGGTTTTGAGGAGCGTGGAACCAACTCTTAATTGCTGGTGTTCCCAGGTCCATCCTGATCCGGGTTGGTAGCAACTGTTAGAATCCCAGCTATGGTCAAAGAGTTAACCTCCAAACTGGGGTCAAAACACTATAAAAGTGTGAAAATAGATTTTAATACCAGAAATACTTTTTGTAAAATAATTATTGCCAGCAATACATTTTAAAAGAAAAAATATTACCAAAAATAGATTTATGAAGGAAAAAAAAATATTACCAGCAACAAAAATTTTGTCGGCATTAAATAACCCATTGAGGTTGATATGCCGTAAACCAAATCAAACCAAACCAAATTGGACATTATTTTCCGAAAAAAAAAACAAACTAATGTTTTTCCTCTGGTCGTATGTAACTCTCGAATACGAAGTTGATTAAGTTACCCCTGATCGCCGATGTCACACCAGTCTGAGGCTACTGATCCAAACACTTGATCATATAACGAGCGTCTAAACGTGTACACTTCTGATCCTACAATTTGTGAGCCGACACTTCATTCTATTTAAACTATCCGACTCCGCCATGTTGGCTTATGGCAACTTGCAATAGGTTGTCATATTCCGACACCAGGGCTGGAAATATTTATACACAAGCAGGTTTAACGAGGGATTTCCTCTTCTATATGGTTGATTTAAAAGTGCCACATACAAACCTAGAGTATATACACCCACGATATATATATATATATATATATATATATATATATATATATTTATATATATATATATTTTAAAAAAATCTATCTACATGTTAGATATGTAACAAGAAAATGAAAACGAATTTGGAAATAATTTTTGAATGGAAATGAAGAAAATTAAAATCATGAATCTATAACTAAAAATTAGAAAAAAAAAGAAACGTTGAGGAAAAGGAAAAATGGGAGAAATAGTGAAAGAGACAGAGAGACAGAAAGAGAAAGAGAGAAAAGAGAGAAATGGCGAAAGAGGAAGAAAGAGAAGGGAAAATAAGAGAAAGAGAGAAGAGAGAAACGAAAGAGGAAGAAAGAGAAAACAGAGAGAGAAGAGAAGAGAAATGAAATGGAAGAAAATGAAAGAAAAGAGAAAGAAATCGAAAGAGGAAGAGATCTAAAACTAAAAGATAAAGAGAGAGAGAAATGAAAAAAAGGAAGAAAGAGAGAGAGAGAAAGAAATAGAGAAAGAGAGAGGAATGGCGAAAGAGGAAGAAAGAGAGAGGGGAAAGAGAGAGAAAGAGAGAGAGGAATGGCGAAAGAGGAAGAAAGGGAGAGAGAGAGAAAGAGAGAGAGAAAGAGAGAAATGGAGAAGGAAAGAGGAAGAAAAAGAGAGAGAGAAAGAAAGAGAGAAAAGAGAGAGAGAAATGGCGAAAGAGGAAGAAAGAGAGAGGGAAAGAGAGAGAAAAGAGAGAGGAATGAGAAAGAGGGAAGAAAGGGGGAGAGAGAGAGAGAGAGAAAAGAGAGAAATGGCGAAAGAGGAAGAAAGAGAGGGGAAAAGAGAGAGAAAGAGAGAGAGGAATGGCGAAAGAGGAAGAAAGGGAGAGAGAGAGAAAGAGAGAGAAAAGAGAGAAATGGCGAAAGAGGAAGAAAGAGAGAGAGAAAGAAAGAGAGAAAGAGAGAGAGAGAAATGGCGAAAGAGGAAGAAAGAGAGAGGGGAAAGAGAGAGAAAGAGAGAGAGGAATGGAGAAAAGAGGAAGAAAGAGAGAGAGAAAGAGAGAGAAAAGAGAGAAATGGCGAAAGAGGAAGAAAGAGAGAGAGAAAGAAAGAGAGAAAGAGAGAGAGAGAAATGGCGAAAGAGGAAGAAAGAGAGAGGGAACAGAGAGAGAAAGAGAGATAGAGAAATGGCGAAAGCGGAAGAAAGATAGAGAGAAAGAAAGAGAGAAAGAGAGAGAGAAATGGCGAAAGAGGAAGAAAGAGAGAGAGAAAGAGGGAGAAAGAGAGAGATAAAGAGAGAGAGAAATGGCGAAAGAGGAAGAAAGAGAGAGAGAAAGAAATAGAGAAAGAGAGAGAAATGGCGAAAGAGGAAGAAAGAGAAAGGGGAAACAGAGAGAAAGAGAGAGAGGAATGGCGAAAGAGGAAGAAAGGGAGAGAGAGAGAAAGAGAGAGAGAAAGAGAGAAATGGCGAAAGAGGAAAAGAGAGAGAGAGATAAATAGAGAGAGAAATGGCGAAAGAAGCAGAGAGAAAGAGTGTAAGAGATAGATAGATAGATAGATAGATAGATAGATAGATAGATAGATAGAGAGAGAGAGAGAGAGAGAGTTGAGAGAGAAATATTCACGATAACTAAAAGCGAACTACACAGACTGAAGTTTTATCGGCGAAAGAAAATCTTGGGAGACTTTTACGTTATAAGAAATCAAAAATTAAAATCATTGAAGAAGCGAAGTTAAGAAACGCTGGGTGTCGTAAAGACATAAATAAATAACAATGAAATTGTAAGTTATTTCATAATCATAGATATATACCGGTTGCTGCAGAATGTTTGGAAATTTGCTATAAAAATCAATGCATTTTATGAAGCACGCCATCGTATGAGAAGGGGATGAAAAGACTGTGGGCGTGCCATAAGGGAGAAAATCGAATCAAATAAATATTTGTGTATGCGAAACAAAGCTTCCAAACACACACCCTCCGAAAAAAAAAAAAGATGAAAGCAAAAAGAAGACAATAATGTAATAGGCATACAAGCAACGAGGCCGAGAAGCGTTGCGTTAATTTTCTCTCCATTTGCGCATGACAGGAAATTGAGTTATCTCCCTTTGGAATTGCAAAGGTGTTACAATCAGATTAGAGTCACTAAATATATCAGAAAACAATCTGCACTCGTCCGCACGGAAAGTAAGACTGAATTCAGTTTGGTAAAGTTTGGACAGGATTTGGAACAAAAGTAAGATGAAAGATGAGACAGGGTGAGGTCGGGGATGGTTGATCATAGAAATGAGACGATGATAGAATTGTTGGTAGAAAAAAAATATCTTTATGGAGAAAAAGAATAACTAGCTTTTTGGAAATTACTCCACACATTTCAGACGCCAAATGTGAAAAAAAAATAGCGATTAATAAACCGTTGACTCGGTGCAGTGAAGTCTAGGACAAGTAAAAATATAACGACATGGGTATTTTTACGAGGCCTTGGAGATACAGCTCTTTCGATCAAATGAAATAGTCGTCCATGTATCAAGTCTCCACATTCGTATCTATCTATCTATCTATCTATCTATCTATCTATCTATCTATCTATCTATCTATCTATCTTTGTATGTTTGTCTGTTCCTATCTATCTATCTATCTATCTATCTTTGTATGTTTTTCTGTTCCTTCCTATCTATCTATCTATCTATGTTTGTCTGTTCCTATCTATCTATCTATCTATCTATCTATCTATCTATCTATCTATCTATCTATCTATCTTTGTATGTTTGTCTGTTCCTATCTATCTATCTATCTATCTATCTATCTATCTATCTTTGTATGTTTGTCTGTTCCTATCTATCTATCTATCTATCTATCTATCTATCTATCTATCTATCTATGTTTGTCTGTTCCTATCTATCTATCTATCTATCTATCTATCTATCTTTGTATGTTTGTCTGTCTATCTATCTATCTATCTATCTATCTATCTATCTATCTATCTATCTATCTATCTATCTTTGTATGTTTGTCTGTTCCTATCTATCTATCTATCTATCTATCTATCTATCTATCTATCTTTGTATGTTTTTCTGTCCCTTCCTATCTATCTATCTATCTATCTATCTATCTATCTATCTATCTATCTATCTATCTATGTTTGTCTGTTCATATCTATCCATCATTCATCTATCTATCTATTCATCTATCTATCTATGTATGTTTTTTCTGTCCCTTCCCTATCTATCTATCTATCTATCTATCATCTATCCATCTATGTTTGTCTGTTCCTTTCATCTATCTATCTATCTATCTATTCCATCATTCATTCATCTATCTATCTATCTTTGTATGTTTTTTTCTGTCCCTTCCCATTCATCTATCTATCTATTATCTATCTATTTATCTATTCATTCATCTATCTATCTATGCATGTTTGTCTGTTCATCTATTCATCTATCTATCTATCTATCTATCTATCTATCTATCTATCTATCTTTGTATGTTTGTCTGTTCCTATCTATCTATCTATCTATCTATCTATCTATCTATCTATCTAGCTAGCTAGCTATCTAGCTAGCTATCTATCTTTGTATGTTTGTCTATTCCTATCTATCTATCTATCTATCTATCTATCTATCTATCTATCTATCTATCTCTATCTTTGTATGTCTGTCTGTTCCTATCTATCTATCTATCTATCTGTCTATCTATCTATCTACTGTGAGCGAGTGAAAGCTTGAGGGTCATACTAAAGACCCTCCTTCTTTGAACCTTGTGGACTGGCGCTACAGAATCACAAGCACAAGAATTGTACCAAATAATGGAAAATAAATCACTTGAGCACTTTCAACAGCAGCAACAACTAAAGCGGATAACACGTGCAACTCGAAGACAAAATGATAACATAATAACGATGCTTTCCACACCACTTACAATAAAATGTTAGGTTTTCGCCCGCATTACATTGAAACTCCAGTTCACGTACGATTACCGAAGTTAAGCACCGTCGAGCCTGGTCAATATTTAGATGGGTGGCCGCTTTGGAATACATTGTGTTGTAAGCTAGAATTGTTGGATATCGGTTGAAGGAAGGTCCATGGCCTTACTTCCGCTGCATCAGTGTGTGAGCGGAAATCGGAACTGGTGATAGCATAAACAGGAAATGTATCCAGTTGCTAAAATAAACAGGACGCGCAGGTGTTCTGAACCTTGAATAAACACGGCGCACAGGTGTCCTGTGTGGGCGTATGCTGGAAGAAACGCGGGCACAACCGGAAGAGGTGTGGGCGCATGTCGGAAGAGGCGTGACCACATGAAGTTTCGTAGGCGACATACGGGAAGAAGGCGTATCCACGTGAAGTTGCGTAGGTGTCCAAATTTTATAAAAACCGGTCCGGTTCTTGATGTGGGCAGAAAGGCTAGTTAGAGGTTCACCGAATGTTTGTCTCCGTCAATTCCTGTGTACGCAGTCCTAACCTTTTTGATTCTCCCTCACTCTACGCATTCGCCACAACTCGAACAATAAAGATAGTTATATATTTTTTTTATGGTGTTCCTATAGTATATGACCGGCCTAATTTAAATGCTAGTAAATGCTACGTGATCTCCTTACATGTAAAGAAGAAGATGTGGCTAGACAAATGAATGCTGAGAATACCATCGACATAACATGTGAGAAACGAGGAAGTCTCAAATGGAATATTTCAGCCCAGCAGCAATATTCTACAGGATGTGCGGGTGGTGTAATGGATAATAGCTCGGAATTGTTAATTGGAGAGCCATGTTCCAATTCCACTTGGGTTCGTTATATGCACTTACGAGCAAATACCATTGTGAAAGTTTTGAATCCACCTTTTCTCCACCAGCTATGGGTTAATTAGTAAATCTTTTATCACTATACTATTATTATCTCAAAAAGAATTCTTACAATCTAAAATATTTAGAGATACTCGATAAAATTTAACGAAGAATCTCCAACGTCACCGTTGACATGGCATCTTAGTTTCAGCCACTTCCCCACTGCCATAATGTTGCTACCCTGTGCCTATTCTATACATATCTTCATGTTATTTGTTCTGATCAGCTTTCCTCTTTACGAATTTAAGCGCAGTACTAGATTGGCAGAAAGGTCTCATTATTCTTGCGTTGAAATGGTTAGATTTAACCATACGTTTTATGCTAATAGTTTCTTCTCTAGCACTTCTCGTTTCTAGGACAATATTCTGCTTTCCTTATCTTCTGGAATTTTAATTTGGTTCTCCGATTAACAATTCCGAGCCATCATCCATTGCACCCGCCAACATCTAAGCTTACAACACCTGGGGTTCCAAAGGGCTCACCCATCTAGGTACTGACCAGGCTCGACGTTGCTTAACTTCGGTGATCGTACAGGAACTGGTGTTTCAAAGTGATGTAAGCCTTGAATTTTTTTCACGATCCCATAATAGTAAAATGATTGAGACAGGAAGAATGTACAGCGATTTGTTATAAAGACCCATCTTTATTTTTATTATAAACCCACAGTTAAATTAAGCGGCTGATAATCGGTAAATCGTTATATTAGCATCTGTCCCTCACTGACCACGATTAATCGGCTTTCAGTTATTAGCGGAATTTTGATCTAGAATTTTCAGTGCATAATGTTGAATATTTGTGTTTAACAGAGAAAAGCTGGAATATGGAAGTTGTGGAATTGACAATGAAGGAAGTTATGTTAAAAAATAAATACTTGTTCGGTAACAATACTTTTATTTTTGTAATCGATAGATTTGTTAACAGATCTCAAAGAAAAAGCTTTAAAAGTTGGCATCAGCCTTGACGAACAAAACTAGAAATGGAATTGATATTTATTTCAAGAATTCCGAATATCGATTCATTTCTTGTAAGGCTAATGAGAAACTCTGATTGACAACTTAAAATCAATTCTGCTGTTTGTTCATTAATTGAATATCGATTGTATAATCTTTTAGAAATTTTAATTCAAACTCACTTGCAGATGTAGGCGGTCATATTTTTTTTTTTATCTGTGAACTGCCATGACTTCTCAGAAAAAGTAGTAGAGTAATTTACCTTTATTTTCTTCACAGTTTCAATCCATAGTTTTTAACCAAAACTGGTCATCATACAAGGGCAGATAACCCAATATTTGGGACTACAACAAAAGTTTGTAGCGTTTTTCAATATGCAGAACATGTAATTTAATTTCGCACGTGATTGAAATTTATGACATAGACATATTCGGAAATGTGACATTCCAACGTGTCTTTTTATAGGACGTGTGTGTGGAGTGTGTTTTACCTTAAAATTGAAAATATTGTGAAAGGATGTGACTTTTCCTCATTTAGTGCACTTTTATTTACGAAAAGGAAAAGAAAAAGGCTGTAGACCCAGCAAAAAATGTATGTCCGTTTGTGGAGATGGTGCCGTAGCTGAGAGTATAGTTCATAATTGTTTCGCAAGATTCGGAATAAAAAATTTGGATCTGGAAGAGCGGGAACGTTCCAGCAAGTTTGATTAAAACGTGATCCAGGTCACACGACACGGGACACCGCAGATATACTCCACATATCTTATATGATCCTTGTCAAACTTTTGAAAACAGTGAATATCTACGTTGTTTGGGTGCCTCACGATTTAACGAAAAAGAGTCTCTGTTCAAGCACAACAAAAATGACCATTTGTTTTTTTTTAAAGAACACTCACAGGCGATGAAAATTGTGTTGTTTACAACAATGTGGCGCGAAAAAAACGTCGTCAGGAAAACAAAATGAGCCACCATTAATCACACCAAAAGCCAGTTTCTATTTGAAGAAGACAATGCTGTTTTCAGATGGGATTGGAAGGGCATTGTGTTTTTACAAACTCCTACAGCAAGATCAGACAAGACTTCCTCTTTTATGTGCTGTGCCGTGTCCCTTCAGGACGTATGCGATCATGGCCCTCCCCATCTTTCTGTCTCTTGTTGCTTTTGTTTTTTCTCCCAAACATTGTTCTACCATCCATTTACTCAAGCCCATCAAGTACGTTTCGCGTTGCTTTCTTCTGTTCCTCAATCTGCCCTGTGAGTATCAGGTTTTCCTCATTACGTGCCTCCAAAATTTCAACTGCTTCTTCCTGATGTTAATTATGTTTAATTTTTGTTTCCTTTCTCTGGTTGTTCACATGTACACATATAGTATCTTCAGCATCTTTCTGTAGAACCATATTTCTGTTGCTTCAAGTCTTCTTCATCTTTGAGGAGTTTGTCTACCATTTGCTGCCATCGTGGAGGACAGCTTTCATGTAACAGTTCTTTGGTTGTAACGAATTTTTTTTATGTCTATTAATATTCTACTTAGCTTTTGGAATGCAACTTTGGCCATCCAAATACTTCTTCGGATTTCAGTGCCACATTTTCCGTCCTCTGTTAGAACACTTTCCAGATATTTAAATTTCTATACTTATTTGATTTTAGTATCCCCCGATTCGTAATTTGCATTTTGGGCTCACCCTTTTGCTGATAACCATACATTGTGCTTTCGTATCATGATATCAGAGAAATACTATTCCAAATTAGACCGATTGAATGCAGCAATCGATCGTCTGGAAATGGCCAAACGGAATTGTATTTCCTTCCACCAGGGCAACGTCAGACCTCAATCCTTTTTGCAGATCTGGCAAAAATCGACACAGTCTCTCTTACTAGACTTGAAGCAGTCACTTGCTTTCACCTTCCGTTCAACACTGCTTTCGAACGCTGCAAAATTCCCTTAATGGCGAGAGTTTCAATTCTCTAGCAGACTGTAAGAACCACTTAGGCCTTTTTATCACCCAGAAAGTTCTGGGAGGATGACATCATGAAGCTGCCCCTAGGATGATGAAAGGCGAGCGAAGAATATGGCACATATGCGGGTGAATAAATCTATGTACAAATAATGTCTCTGAAATTCTCTTCAAAAAATCAAAGAACATTTGTTGCAATTTAAAAATGTATCGGGTGGGAGGATAAATGTATCGGGTGGGAGGATAAATGTATCGGGTGGGAGGAAAAATGTATCGGGTGGGAGGAAAATAAATAAATATCGGATGGTAGGGTGGGAGGATAAATGTATCGGGTGGGAGGAAAAATGTATCGGGTGGAAGGATAAATGTATCGGGTGGGAGGAAAAATGTATCGGATGGGAGGGTATCGGTGGGAGGAAAATGTATCGGTGGGAGGATAAATGTATCGGGTGGGAGGAAAATGTATCGGTGGGAGGAAAAATGTATCGGTGGGAGGAAAAATGTATCGGGTGGGAGGAAAATGTATCGGGTGGGAGGATAAATGTATCGGTGGGAGGAAAAATGTGGGAGGGTGGGAGGAAAAATGTATCGTGGGAGGAAAATGTATCGGGTGGGAGGAAAATGTATCGGGTGGGAGGATAAAAAATGTATCGGGGGGAGGGAAAATGTATCGGGTGGGAGGATAAATGTATCGGTGGGAGGAATAAATGTATCGGGTGGGAGGATAAATGTATCGAATTGGTAGGAAAAATATCAGGTGGGGAGGATAAATGTATCGGTGGGAGGATAAATGTATCGGGTGGAGGAAAATGTATCGGGTGGGGATCGGTGGAGGATAAATGTATCGGGTGGGAGGATAAATGTATCGGTGGGAGGATAAATGTATCGGGGAGGATAAATGTATCGGTGGTAGGAAAAATGTATCGGATGGTAGGATAAATGTATCGGGTGGAGGATAAATGTATCGGTGGGAGGAAAATGTATCGGGTGGTAGGAAAATGTATCGGGTGGTAGGAAAAATGTATCGGTGGGAGGATAAATATATCGGGTGGTAGGAAAAAAATGTATCGGGTGGTAGGAAAATGTATCGGGTGGTAGGATAAAATATCGGGTGGTAGGATAAATGTATCGGGTGGGTGGTAGGATAAATGTATCGGGTGAAAAATGGATCGGTGGTAGGATAAATGTATCGGGTGGTAGGGAAAATGTATCGGGTATTAGGATAAATATATCGGGTGGAGGAAAAATATATCGGTGGGAGGATAAAATATCGGGTGGTAGGGTGGGAGGAAAAATATCGGGTGGGAGGATAAATATATCGGGTGGGAGGAAAAATGTATATAAAGATTGGGGGTGGAGGATAAATGTAGGAAAAATCGGGTGGAGGATAAATGTATCGGATGGGAGGAAAAATGTATCGGGTGGGAGGATAAATGTATCGGGTGGGAGGAAATTATATCGGGTGGAGGATAAATGTATCAGGTGGGAGGAAAAATGTATGTAACGGGTGGGAGGAAAATGTATCGGGTGGGAGGAAAATGTATCGGGTGGGAGGAAAATGTATCGATGGGAGGAAAAATGTATCGGTGGAGGAAAATGTATCGGTGGAGGATAAATGTATCGGTGGTGGGAGGATAAATCGGGTGGGAGGATAAATGTATGGATGGTAGGAAAATGTATCGGGTGGGAGGATAAAATCGGATGGTAGGATAAATATATCGGGTGGGAGGAAAAATGTATCAGGTGGGAGGGTATCGGTGGAAGGAAAAATGTATCGGGTGGGAGGATAAATGTATCGGGTGGGAGGATAAATGTATCGGGTGGGAGGAAAAATGTATCGGGTGGGAGGAAAAATGTATCGGGTGGGAGGATAAATGTATCGGGTGGGAGGAAAAATGTATCGGGTGGGAGGATAAATGTATCGGGTGGAGGAAAAATGTATCGGGTGGGAGGAAAATGTATCGGGTGGAGGAAAAATGTATCGGGTGGTGGGGAGGAAAATGTATCGGTCAGGTGGGAGGAAAAATGTATAAAATGGTGGGGTGGGAGGAAAATGTATCGGGTGGGAGGAAAATGTATCAGGTGGGAGGATAAATGTATCGGGTGGGAGGAAAAATGTATCGGATGGGAGGAAAAATGTATCAGGTGGGAGGATAAATGTATCGGGTGGGAGGAGGAAAATGTATCGGGTGGGAGGATAAATATATCGTGGGAGGAAAAATGTATCGGTGGAGGATAAATGTATCGGTGGGAGGAAAAATGTATCGGGTGGGAGGATAAATGTATCGGGTGGGAGGAAAAATGTATCGGGTGGGAGGATAAATGTATCGGGTGGTAGGAAAAATGTATCGGGTGGTAGGAAAAATGTATCGGGTGGTAGGAAAAATATATCGGGTGGTAGGATAAATGTATCGGGTGGTAGGAAAAATATATCGGGTGGTAGGATAAATGTATCGGGTGGTAGGATAAATGTATCGGGTGGTAGGATAAATGTATCGGGTGGTAGGATAAATGTATCGGGTGGTAGGATAAATGTATCGGGTGGGAGGATAAATGTATCGGATGGTAGGAAAAATGTAGGATGATAAATGTATCGGATGGTAGGAAAATGTATCGGGTGGGAGGATAAATGTATCGGGTGGTAGG